TGTGGTCCCAGATATTGTATATTATTTGTATTCCTTCTAGATGTGAAGAAGGAATGCTTTGTGTGGTCCCAGATATTGTATATTATTTGTATTCCTTCTAGATGTGAAGAAGGAATGCTTTGTGTGGTCCCAGATATTGTATATTATTTGTATTCCTTCTAGATGTGAAGAAGGAATGCTTTGTGTGGTCCCAGATATTGTATATTATTTGTATTCCTTCTAGATGTGAAGAAGGAATGCTTTGTGTGGTCCCAGATATTGTATATTATTTGTATTCCTTCTAGATGTGAAGAAGGAATGCTTTGTGTGGTCCCAGATATTGTATATTATTTGTATTCCTTCTAGATGTGAAGAAGGAATGCTTTGTGTGGTCCCAGATATTGTATATTATTTGTATTCCTTCTAGATGTGAAGAAGGAATGCTTTGTGTGGTCCCAGATATTGTATATTATTTGTATTCCTTCTAGATGTGAAGAAGGAATGCTTTGTGTGGTCCCAGATATTGTATATTATTTGTATTCCTTCTAGATGTGAAGAAGGAATGCTTTGTGTGGTCCCAGATATTGTATATTATTTGTATTCCTTCTAGATGTGAAGAAGGAATGCTTTGTGTGGTCCCAGATATTGTATATTATTTGTATTCCTTCTAGATGTGAAGAAGGAATGCTTTGTGTGGTCCCAGATATTGTATATTATTTGTATTCCTTCTAGATGTGAAGAAGGAATGCTTTGTGTGGTCCCAGATATTGTATATTATTTGTATTCCTTCTAGATGTGAAGAAGGAATGCTTTGTGTGGTCCCAGATATTGTATATTATTTGTATTCCTTCTAGATGTGAAGAAGGAATGCTTTGTGTGGTCCCAGATATTGTATATTATTTGTATTCCTTCTAGATGTGAAGAAGGAATGCTTTGTGTGGTCCCAGATATTGTATATTATTTGTATTCCTTCTAGATGTGAAGAAGGAATGCTTTGTGTGGTCCCAGATATTGTATATTATTTGTATTCCTTCTAGATGTGAAGAAGGAATGCTTTGTGTGGTCCCAGATATTGTATATTATTTGTATTCCTTCTAGATGTGAAGAAGGAATGCTTTGTGTGGTCCCAGATATTGTATATTATTTGTATTCCTTCTAGATGTGAAGAAGGAATGCTTTGTGTGGTCCCAGATATTGTATATTATTTGTATTCCTTCTAGATGTGAAGAAGGAATGCTTTGTGTGGTCCCAGATATCTCAGCATTCAGGTCAGGATGGAAGTATGTCAGGCAACCCCTGCAGGTAATTTAGTAGACTAGTCTCTTCAATTCTTTTGCAGTTAACTATAGATATTGTTAAAGCAGTTGTTTTTATAACATGTTTAAAATATGAAAAAAATCATTGATGTGCTAAAGGATAGCAAAGCAAGTAAATTAAGGCAGACATTGAAGCTAAAAATAATTATTTCAGGAAAATTCAGCAATTTTCCCTACACCAAGATGTCTGCCTTCCAGAATCCTTCACAGAAGTACCAACAGCAAATAGACGTTCATTTGTTACTTCTCAATAGTAAATTCAGTATTGATTCTTGCAACCACTATGTCTGTAGTTAGGTCATATCCTGTGTAACCATTGTTTTAGTCCTAAGAAATATTCTCATTAAAGGTGACTTTCACCGTCTTTGTTTCAGGTCCCAGTGTCGTTGGTACGTGAGGATGGTGTAATCTATGCAACAGGACTGACTTTTACCTACACGCCAGAGCCCGGCCCGCGGCCGCATTGTGCCGCCATTGATGAGACCATGCGGCCAGGGGCCTCTGTAATACAGACCACGGACTCTGTGCACGAGACACAACATCAGCAATACAGTAATAGCAGCAGTACTGCTGTGTCCTAACAGTGGCAATATTGAGAATGTTTACATAGTGGCAATGCCAGGAGGAGTTCATGGTATCAATCACCTCAGTTTTTTTCCACTGAGTGCCTTCATAAGGAACAGATCGTGATGGGGAAATCATTCATGGAAAACAAAACATAAATGGCCAAATCTTCTTTTATACAGTTAGCCCATGTGTACTTATTTTTCTGTATGTTTTTGTTTTTTGGTGCTTAATTTCACAACGAGGAGTAACTGATGTGGATGTTTAGAGAGTGCACATTCAGCTGAAAGGGAGAAAGTTGAATTGACCAACCTGTTCAGGAGAGACAACAGTGCAGCAATATGCTGCTGTTTAATTGACCAGCAGGGAAAACTCAGACACTGTCCACCAGGTTAATGTTGCCAGATATATTGCCCTGTCAAGAAGTTTTCTACAGCAAGTGCCCAGTGGGTCTGGACAAGTGAAAGTGATGTAGAGACGCATACAAGACAGCAGTATTATGGGAGGCATTGCTCCATGGCAGATATGGTAGTGTCAGTACAGCTGGGTTTATGTGGCAAATTCAAGTACATTTTCTATTAAACTGAAATACAGCAATGGTCCTGTAGCTTGGGGAGGAGCGATGGAGAGAAAATATTTTTCAAATTCTTGTCAGAATTGTGCGTTTTGACAATCTTGTATTGGCTGGACTTGTATGATATTCCATTCTTATTGTACCCTGGATATGACCAGTCATGTAACCTGTGTCAAGTCGGTGTATTTACACATTATGCATATTTTCTGTATAAAGACATGTACATGTATTTTCATAGAATGAAGTTGTTCTATGCAGGCCTGGATGCATTATTTATTGTAAAGCCAACTGTTGTTATACCCTAAGAATGCATTTGCACACACGCTCACTCACCCTTGCATGCTCCAGTGCACACACGCAAACATGCATGGTCAGGCGCACACACTCGCATTTGGATCTGTATCTTCACATGCACATACAAATATTATCTCATTTTTATGAAAGACATACTTAGGCCAGGAAGGACCATACGCAATACTTCTCTCTCAGTTTACACCATAACCTGCAGGACATCTTGGCTCTCCTTCATTACTTTTCAGCCACTTTACATTAAGTACTTAAATCTAATACAACAAATGTGGCACAGATCATGTTATCAGGCCACTGGTCACAGCACACAACCTTCTAGCTCCCAGCCTACCATGAGAGGTATTCTTAGCCAAACCATTTCACTCAATATGCACTGGGAGCAATGTGATAGAGAGATGCCTTAGTTATATTTTCATACATTACACATGTATTTATAAATGGAAAACTAATGTTTTTACAGAGGCAATGTTTTTTTCATCAGCCCAGGCTTATTCCAAGTATCATTTGTTACTGTCAAATTTAAAGGTATTTTGTCAGGGCAAAATTGTGAAAGTGCTCTCATGCATGCCAAACAAAATTTTCTGTCACATTCGTTACGATTTTCCTCGACAGCGTTTATTTTGAGGTTTGTGTGAGATTGCTAAAACACGATCTCCTGAGCATTTTGACTGTGCTTGATAAATGAAAGGTCCACATCATCTTTTTGTGTTATAACCTTTATACTGGTACTAAAAAATGAAAACTGTCTTTATGGGAAGCTACCTGGACCAAGTTCCTTCATTCACACCTAGGTAACATTTGATGCTACATGCCATTCTGTTTCATGTCCAAGCTACAGACATCCACTTAAATGTATTTCAATTCTGTCCCGTCAACACACTGTTGTTTTACCTGTGACCAAAAGGATGTTGATACTTATACCAAATATCATCTTGCTTGGAAGTTTTAGGTGTTGTGTCCCAGCGGTTTCCCATAGATTGCAGTGCAACCATTGCTTTTAGTAGCTGACATGTTTGTGCCAAGCCATGCATGCCTACTTAAAGCTAGGGATAACTATATGCTCGTCAGGTTATACTAAGTGTCAGATTTTATTCTATATTTTTAAGCCAACATTTTAGATCTCTATGAACGTCAGCTGTAGGTGAAATATTTTGAGTGAAGCAACTTTTAAATGAAGGAATACATTCCACTATAGCTGCCAGTCATAGTCTATAAGAGCACCTTCACAGTAATCTATGGTGATAGTTAGGACTGCATTGGATATGTGTCATTGTGCTAGTGGAGACTTCACTGGATGTGTGTCATTGTGCTAGTGGAGACTTCACTGGATGTGTGGCATTGTGTTAGTGGAGATTTCACTGGATGTGTGGCATTGTGTTAGTGGAGACTTCACTGGCTGTGTGGCATTGTGTTAGTGGAGATTTCACTGGCTGTGTGGCATTTTGGCAGTGGAGATTTCACTGGATATGTTGCATTGTGCTAGTGGAGACTTCACTGGCTCTGTGGTATTGTGCTAGTGGAGACTTTACTGGCTGTGTAGCATTGGCATTGTGTATAAGCACAATTTATGCCCTCTCCTTCAGTCATTGTTAACTGGTGTTATAGTAGAGTATAAAAAATCTTTTTGCCTATTCAAAGGCATTACCTTATTAAAGACTTGCTGGACAAAGTTGTACCCAAAGATGATGTCAGTAGTTGTTTAAAGCAAGGCCAAGTTTTATATCAATGCCTTGGAGTTGAATTTTGCGCCAACTAATTTTTTCATGCCATATAAAGCCATTCTTTTTATGTATTGTATTTCATATGCAACTGTATTAACTAATTCAAGAAATCCCACGTTCTGTTTGCTATTATGTTCTACTTATAATCCATTAGCAGCTTTCTCTGTACTGACATTATACTTGCCTTGCCTGGTGGTCTTAAGTCAACTCAGTTTGGGTTATGTTATTCATTCATGTTATATGAATATTCCTAACTGTTAAGTGCCTTACCAAAAGTGATTATAAGTTATTGACCAAAGTATCTATATTGTAAACTGTTATTTGATATCATGAAAAAATATGTTCAGTCATGTGTTCATCGGTTTTTGCAGTTGCAGATATTCTTACTGTGGTAATTGATAGGTAAAGTGTGAATGGATTTTATTCCTCTGTCAAAATTTAAGCAAATTATGAAAAAGAGACAAGGTTTTGCTAGATCATTTTGATCATGTTGACAAAGAAAATCAAACCTGCCTTGCATCAAAATTGAAATCCAGTAGAAAATTGTGTTCTATGTGCTGTTCAGTGGTGTTTAAGATTTCACGTGTCCAATATGTTGTATGAAATGGATAATTCTCTTTTAACATTGCCATATCAGATTGAAAATTATGTAATGAATATGGGGACAATATGTGGCAGTGTAGTTGTCAATAGAATCTAGTGTTTGATCATCAAGCCCAAGAAGCACTCAGAGCAGTAATAGAAAGCAGGTGTAGAAGCACACTGTATCATTCTATAGCATGGGTATTTAAAAAAAATACATGATGTACATGTGTGCAGTATAAAAAAGCGCAGTGCCCGTCATTTCAGACCAAGCACGTGCCGCTCACCCTTTCGGTCACGTGGCCTCGTGCCTGGTCTGGGGGCGCCTCTGACGTCATATGTCGCTTTGCGCCACTGTGGTCGCAATTGTGCAATATACAGATCAACCAAACGTCACTTCATCGACTTCATGAAGGTAATTAATATGTGGTCTGTGAAGTTTTATGTAAACTACATCCATCTTGTGTCGCTGTTGTTATTGTTCATGGTGGTGAAAGCATTGTACAAAGTTGCATTTTGTATTGTTAGATACAAACTTGTAGACCACATTACGAAACAATAAAAGTATTATTTTTCAAATTTATTTTGATCTGGTCTTTATCGTGGCGTTATGTATATTTGTGTATACCATTTGTCGTTGTTTTACTACCTTAACATTTATCGGCCAGCGTCTATATTTTAATATATTATCAAAACGAAAAAACGTTCAGTGAAACTATTAAGGCAACATTTTGATATTAAGGAAACTATTAAGTTCAGAAAGTAAACACCTTAAAGGTTTGAAAAAAAGTTGAACGTTTTCAACTGCCATCTTGCCCATTGGGTGTCTAATGTCCAAGTCCAGATGATTTCCCATCGGAATCCACCTATGGCAAAGTCTCTTGCGGGCAAATCCCAAAATGCCCGTCAATGCAAAAGGAATGGTACTTTAATAGTTTTTTAATTAACTAAGTGACTAAGGAACTTGTAAGAAGTTTCAATTCCAGGAAAAAATGTATGACCGTTTTTGAAAATAGTTACCGACAAATACCACCCCTTTAGTGAAACCCTACATTTTCGCGTGTAATCAGACTAAACCTGTAATAACAAAATGAAGATTACGTATCACTTTTGAGAAAGATTGGCCTTAAAGTTCTAGATAATCAAATGTTGGCCCGGCATTTGGACCAACAAAGGGATCTCCTCTGATATCAATAGGTGTCTGGACCAATTTTTGTCCATGGACATACAGAGAATGCATAAGTCCTATACAGTCTTTAATCTTGTGTGGCCTTCCACTAAACGCCACCTGTAAACACTGCAACATTCCAGTATATATTTCATTGAATGTATTCGCCATGAAATAGGCTCTGGAGCCAGGCCGGTATTTGCTCATATGTGGTTGGTCAATCATTGGCCATACCCCGCTTGATGAAAATGGTACTCTGGGACCGGAAAAGGAGTATACAGTTTCACAGTACAGAAACGTTTCCTCAGCTTGTCGGTACATATTTGACATACAGTTGGTAACATCGACGTTGTTAAACCCGTTTAAAACGTATTTCAACTTTTCCGATTGACCGCTACGCGGGAGACATTTGTTTTTATCATATACGCGTATTTGTCGGCCATGTGCTATTTCGGCGAATTTGAAATAATGAGAAAGATCATTTCGTTTGTCTAAGGGCTGGCAGGCGCCATTACCTTCGCCTTGTTCGACTATAATTTTGATGGCATCATAAGCACTCGAAATATTCGTTATTTTAAAAGGAACAAGCTGATCTTTAGTACCTAACCACGCGTTGCCATCGATCTGGCGATTAGGATCTCCGACAAAAATGTCGTTTGATTTAGAGAGAATTTTCATATTGTGTTGAATTCTGTTATAAAATTCAGCGATGGTGCCTTTATGACTTCTCACTGGGCATATGGATATTTTGGCATTGTCATTATTCTTGGTACATGCATCTGGGCAATGTTCGGGGGTGCAATGATCGGCTGGGTCGTTACGATGAACATCGGTGCAAGTAGCCGACAATGTTCCGGTTGGCCGCTCAATTTCCATGAAAACGGACTCAAGGTACCCCTTGGATAATTTCTGGATATACACCGTCAGACTCGGGGACACGTGACCTGGCAGTTTTGTGGGATACAGTGGAACCAAATCTGGATGAGCTATGTGAGGGTCCCCGCCAATCGATATTAAAAGATTGGCCACCAACGCTACGTGCAACATTTCTTGTTTTACTATACTTTTTATAATATTGCTTATTTCAATGTTAAACCCCGTCTTAATAGACATAAGGGATGTAAGATATGGTGGAATCGTGGTAAGTTCTAACAAAATGGCCAACTGCAGTTGCTCTTTGAGTTCTTGAAGAGAAACGGGCGGCTCGCCAAGCACGGGGTTATCAAGCCACTTATTCAGAGTTACAGTTTTATTACGTGACAAATCTCTTGTAGTTGGCATATAATTGGGATTGTCTATTGGTAAGTTAATGACGTACCGGATCTTATCTCGATGGTTGACAACAGACTCGTATTCGTTCAGATTCAAAACATAATGCATAACTGGAAACACTTTGTGATACATTTTGAATATTGGAAAAATGTCCTTGTACCAGGTGGGCAATAATGGAACCTCGAAACTATTAAAAATCAAAACAACTAGAAAGAACTGCGCTGTATCATATGTCCCCATGCCGTCCGTAGAGTTGACGAAGAGAAGGTATAACTGTGAGTCTAAGAGAATTTGAACGTTGTTCATAGGGCCATTTGACGGATCTCCGGATACAAGTAGAAAAGATGTCACACCGGATTCTTCTGTGATGTTACACACCGGAGGCACTAACGCACTTTTAGGTGTATTAAGAAGAGGTGTGCAGGGGCCACAATTGTCAGGGAAACAACGTTCTAGAGCATGATGGAGACAAACAGAGATACCCGACACTGGCCTGCCAAAGGCGCTGGAGAATACTTCAAATCTCCACTTGTCACCTGGATCTGTTCTGAATAGAAATCGATCCATGGGACCAACAACGTAACCCTTGGGATGCTCTTGAAGAACTACTTCCTGGCATTTCAGAGATTTTTCTTTGCCGGACAATTTGATGACTGCCAAAGGTGTTAATGTCAATGTTTTAATGACGTCACCTTTCAGCCTAAATGACACGAGACCAGCTGTCAAAGAGTACCAATACTTTGCAGAATAGTCAACCCTAGCAATCACTTGAAATTTATTGGAGCATGACAAGGGGTATGTGTATGAGTCTAACGGATGTGCTAAAATTATATGGCCTATCTCTTCTGTCAGGAATTCCCCATACTCGGACATTCTCAAACTATTTCCAAAGTCAACGGTGAGCGTATTGGTCGAAGTATCAAGCGAGAAGGGAGCATGGCAAAACTGATACCAGGAGCACGAATAATCTGGAGAATTGAGCATCCTTCCAAATCTCATGAAATATGTCGCATCCTGTGGTACATGAGGCCCAATTGTGCCTACTATTCGCCCCAAAGTCAAGTTATTTTGAGTCATGTCCCTTACATACCTATCTACATTGAATTTTATCGAAAGCTCTTTTGAACTAGATATGTAAAGTTCTTTGAGGAATTTCGATGATTGAAAACCCTGTCGTTTGGACCATGTTACATTTGTAAGAACAGATTTGAAATAAGCACCGAAAGACGCTGACATGGCAATTGGTGTTGAGGCACACTTAGGCCAGATACTTTGTAGCGGAGCGGTCTTCATGCGTCCAGTGAACGAGTTCGGAAGCGTCACTTGAAGACCGTAGATTAAAGCCGACGACGATGTAATGCACGCGGGTGTGATGTCAACAAGCTTTGCAGAACATTCTTGGTGCCAGGCTGAAATAAGAGGGTTATTTTAGGTTTACATTTTGACCTAAGCCGTCTGCACAGTCCACTGGATGAAGTAGGCTCACTAAGAACGATATGTTGCACAATATGCAATGTATAATCCGCACAGCTTTTTTTTTCTTAGACATCTCTTAGTTGCAAAGGCAGTGTAAAAAGTAAAACTTACAAATGAGTCGTTTTCCAATGACACTATCAGTGGCTGAAGTACAATGACCATCTTTGTAGCAAACGCGAGTCACAAACACATCAACAAACTTCCAGTCAAAGGAACCCTTGATCAGATGACAAGATAATAAAATGAAGTACAGAAAGTGACGTGATAAATGTATGGAAATATCAATTTAATGTGCCTTTTATTATCTATAATTAGTTTACTAATTTTAAACAAATAGTCGAGCTAACAAGGCTGGTCGTAACTGGTTATTTTTCTTTAAATGAAGAAAATTCCATTTGAGGAGAACAATGCACGATGTTTGACATACGTTAAATGTAATCATATACTTTCAGAGATATCCGTCCTGTAACTTAAATATTCCTCCTAACTAGTGATATAGTCCACAGTATACACCTTTAAGATATAAGCTATAAACCACAGTAAGGGCTTACATAAGGGTTGAAGTCGCCCCGATCCCTGGTAAACTTTGGCGTCAGGTAGCGTGATATGTTGAAGTTCTGCATTCTGTTGTTTGCTGTTCCAACGTCGGCCATAAATTTACCCGCAAAATGTAACCTTGGCCATCCGAGATATGATGCCGCCAGTGAAGGATTGGCGCCTAGAAGTCATATTTGGTAGAGCTGACAAAACATCTTAGAACAGAAACAATCAATATCACAAAGCTGGATTTTGTAATTACCTGTTACATTGCATTCGACATAGCAAACTGTGGATAGAATTCCGATAAAGATGCATAAACGCGTTCTATAATAAAAAGACATATCAGCTCAACTTCAGCACGGTTAACGGTTTACACATTTGGCATCTTTCTTGGACTATGACGCAAATGATAACGTTCTTAACAGAATTTGTTTTTCACTAAGTCATGACGTCGGATAACCCCGGGGAAGGCAGAATCAGGACACGGACGTGAGACGCGTTACAGGTGCATGTCATATATCTGCTTAACTCATTGCACACCGTGGAAGTAGCTGCTATTAAAACATTTTTTTTCATTATCCAAGGCACCAATCATCCATTTTTTAATCAAAATTTTGACTCTGTAACGTGTTGCATCGTAGCACATGTAGGATTATGTTTTTGACGCGGAGACGCAAAATTAGATAAAAATTACGAAATAAATTAAACAAAAATTAAACAATGCTCTCTTTGCGAACAATTATTAAAACTAATTGAAAAGATTGACACAAAATTTGCTATTTTCTTATCTTCTCTGCGTTAAAGAAAGTTGCAAAAAGAAAGTTAAGCTATTTTACGTTTTTCATGATTTTGTTTTTCATCAGTTTATCTTAACTGACCAAGTTAGTGATTGATTCATGCTAGAATATCACTGTAATATTATTATTTTTTGTATAAATCCGAATTCTGCTACGTTAAATGCAAGGTGTGATAATTAAATGTAAAGATTTACAGCTTCTGAATTTGTTTCTAGGGAGAAAGGGTAATGGTTATTAAGAAGAGGTATTTGGAAGGAACGCTCTCAATCCCTGGTAAACTTTGGCGTCAGGTAGCGTGAAAGGTTGAAGTTCTGCATTCTGTTGTTTGCT